CCTGATCCTGACCTCTGAGAATACGCCATTCTGTGTTAGGCTCTTTAAATATTATCCTGGGCACACCCTTCCTTCTGGACTGGACTGCAAGCTTCTTAAGGACAGGGCTCAGAGCTTGAGAAACAATCCACAGTCATAAGAGTGTAGGCTGGGATCCAAGCATGACTCTATCAATACCTGGGCAACCTTGAGCAAGTTACTTACCCTCTCTGGGCCACATTTTCCTCATCCGTGAAATGGAGATGGTAACAGTGCCTACTGCAAAGGACTGCAATCAGGATTAAATGAGTTAATGCTCGGAACAATAATTGTGAACTATTGATCATCTCCATATTCCCTTCAGAGCCTCTCTGGCGTAATTCCTCTCACACACTAGATCCTCATTAACTCTTTGCAGACAGAATGATCCGCCCCCTAGAGCTGTTTTCTCCTTCCCTCTTACTCCTGTCCTAACCTTGTCTTTGATGAAAGTTAGGTAAGTCACTGCCTTCATTGTGAATGATTTTGGCCATACAGACAGCCCATCTAAATTAACTCAGGACCAAAAAAAAAAAAAAAATCTTAAATAAACCTCAAATTTAATTACATTAAAACAGACCACTCACTAACACCAATGTAACCAGGTAATTTCCAGACTTCCCTTTCACTAGGAGCCGTGAAGTCTTAGGCTAACTTTCTCCCCAAAGCTAAGGTTCACCAATTCTATATTTCTTTATTTTTTATAAAGTATATAAGGGAAGCCAAATTGAATAAAGAGCTGTATTCAGTAGCTGAATATATATATTTCTTCTTTTTTTTTTAATGAAATAGCCTCATATATATACATGGAAATATAATTCATGGGAAATTTATATATATATATATATATATATATATATATATATATATGCACACACACATATATGAGGCTACTTCATAAAGTTCATGGAAACATAGAATTAAAGATAATACAACTCTTTCCATGAACTTTTTGAAGTACACTTATGTAAGTAGATACACACTTCTCACATTTAAGAGAGTCCGCAGAAAGCCTCCAGAAAGCCTCTAAAGTTACAAAACACACCCATATTAATGTGATTTATCCAAGTACAGTAAACGAATTGCCACAAATGAATAATTGCTACAGAGTCAAGTAGACAGCACAATGTGATTTACACATATTACATGAGATGAGTAAATCAACGGTGGAAAAGATCAAAGGAAATGCTGAAATTGTTAATACGTACAGGGCTTCACTGAGAATCTTCTTAATAAAACTGTTTAGAGGAAAATAGAAGGATCATTTGTTTAAACGAAAAGAGATACCGCATGTGCTGAATTTCAAAAGCAGCATTCATTTTCTTACACACACACATTAGATTGAGCTAAAATTAGCCCAAGTTCCTATTTTCTTAAAGGTCTTAAAGGAATAAAGGTTTCAACAAGATTTCATTGAGCCACAGTTCAGTTCCCAAGGTGCCTGAGCTTCCGTGGAAGACCCCCCACTAATCCACCCGGACTTCATCTCAATTCCTCGCCCCACCCTCTCCCTTCACCCCAGGTCTACAAGAGGAGGCACAGCAAGGCTGTGCATCACCAACGCTCAAGCTATTGTCCGCTGCTCTTACCTTCTCTCTATGCATTCTACACCGGCTGATGTCATCCCCGGAACTTAGTCATCCCTGCTGAATGTCAAACTTTTTGCCAGGCAGAAGAACCCAAAGCCCAATTTCAAAGATCACATTTATGCCAGTGATGCCTCCAAGTTTATCTCCAGACCCGATCTCTCAGCAGTTTTATTCCCATACTCTTTACTGTCTACCCAAGTCCAGAAACCCAGATGTCCACTAGCACTGCAGCTTCAGCCAAAATGGCCCGGTCAGTAATATACCATGCACTTGCTTATGTCCCAGCCACTTAAATGGCTTTCCTCCTGCTCTATCCAGCTCTTCCCACAGAAATGTGATCCAGCCATCAGCGTTCAACTCAAATGACCCCTCCCCCTCCTCCTCCAAGTCTTTCCTGATCGTCCCTCCTCAACTTTGCTCTTCTGAATTCCTTCAGTGTTACAGCATACCCCAGCAAGTACAGCCCACCCATTCTGCTTTGTATTGGTTATTTCAGAGCGTTTCTTCTTTCCCCTGCCTGACCGTGAAGAACAGAATCTCCTTCCAGTAGTTCTTACTCACTTTCATTCCACAGCACCATGAAGTACTTAAAAAAAAAAAAAAAAATACAGGATGAATAAATGAATGGATCACTTCTTTAAATAGACAGTGACTGTCAACAAGTTAGGTCGTAACTTGCTATAGCTTTATCATATTTATAAAATAACTAAAACCAAAAATAATTGTAATCTAGGTTTTAATTTTTTAAAAAAACTTAATGAACATAACAGAGTACAACGTGAATGACACCGTTTGCCTGCCCAGGTTTAGCCATCAATCGTGAGGACTGTAATGGGGCTATTATTTATGCAAAATGTTTAGATACTGCTTATAAGTTTCCTTTAAATGCAATCATAGCAAATGTCAGCTGCTTAAAATTCAAGGTGACTTTGCACTACTTTGTCAGTAATACAATATGAGTATTCATAAGACACTTAGACTTGCTTAATAGACTATAAAAACCTGGGTCTCTTCTCATTAAGCTGCACATATTGACCAAGAAATATGACTTTTTGCTGCCCATTTTTTCACAATAAAATTCTTGAGATATTTGTTATGACAAATGACTCTCTTTAAACACTACAGGATAAAAAACAATAATTGCATGTGTATTCACCCCATATGCAAATAAACTATTTCCTCAAAAACTTAAATGTGAGGATTTTTTGCCTAGCGTGTAACTGTTAAAATGGGTAATACCACAAAGAGATAAAATAGCAATAAGACACCCCATCCTTTCCATCCAGCTGACACTTGTAGATCTTAAGAGGCTTACCTTTGCATGTAACTCCAGGTTATTCTATTTCTACTTAAAGAACATCTCCTTAATCCACAGCCAATAGCAGGTAAAGACTCCAGTTCCATATTATACAAGGATATAATGTTTGTGATAAATCCCTCTCTCCTCCGCCTTGCCCCCAATAGGACTTTTCTAGCTACCCTTTCTGAGGCCACTTCAGTCACTAAGATTTTTGTTTGTTTTTACTCAGACTGCAAATAACTCTATTTATGCATGCAATTCATCAGTTCATCCTACAACAATATAAAAAAAAACATATGCATCCTATCACTGTAAGAGTTGTGATAAATTCCTAATTTAAAATTCAGAAAAATAAATAAAAGGCTCATTGGCTTTGCAGAGCTGCAAATGTCTACAGAGATGATCCAAAGATCAAGGTCCAGGTATATTTACTTGTTCCTAGTCAGGTATGGTCCAGGAGCAACCATCACAAAACAAGATCATTACTATCACCCTGTCGAGAGATAAGTTACATGCTAACAATGATAGCTTATGTTAAAAGACCACAAACCACACACCAGGCACTATTCTACCCACGGTACACATATTATTTCAGTCCATCCTTACAGCAGCCCTGTAAGAAAGTTCTAGTAGTATCTCCATCTTATACATGAAGAACCTGTGGTACAGAAGGGGCATAGGGCTGCTCAAGGTCACAGTGGAGGCTCAGGATTTTAAATCCAGATGGGCTGATTCCAGAATTCCACACTCTTATCTCACATACCAGGGAATTTATACGTCACTTAAAAACTGGATCTTAAGGGGCCGGCCCGTGGCTCACTCGGGAGAGTGCGGTGCTGATAACACCAAGGCCCCAGGTTCGGATCCCATATAGGGATGGCCGTTTTGCTCGCTGGCTGAGCGTGGTGCTGACAACACCATGTCAAGGGTTAAGATCCCCTTACCGGTCATCTTTTTAAGAAAAAAAAAAAAAAACTGGATCTTAAGTGTAGAGAGGGAGCTCTTTAAATAAATCTGGTGAATCATTTTTTAAATGAAACTTTTGGTAAAGCAAATATCCACCTCTTGACAAATGACTTTTGAAAATCCAGATTTTCAGACATAAGGTTTGGTAAAAGCAGACTGTGCATCTCACCAGGAGGGGAAATAGAATGGGACCTGGGAAGAGCTTCCCCAAGACCACCCAACCCAGCAGTACCCACACCTGTGGAGCACCAGTACCTAGATCGATAATCCCAGGAGACCAGCTGGGAATCTTCCGATTCAGGAGGTCTAGGGGGGAGCCCCAAATTCTGTTTTTTTAAGTTCTCCAGGTGATTCTGCTGACTAGCTAGGCTTAGGAACCTCTAATCTAGTCTATCTCCATAACTTTGGGCAGGACTGTTTCCAAAGCAAACAGAAATTGATCTATTTTCTATTTCACAATCTCCCTTGGTTGCGTACAACAGTGTTCCCAAGCCCTAACGGCCCCAAGTTCTAGCTAACTTTCATCTCTCTCCTGATTTCCTTTGAGGCAGTATCCTCTTGTCCTCTTTTCAACAGACAGCTATGAGTCATCAACCCTTGCATACACCCTGTGTCTGCATGACTCTCCAGCCCAGAAAAATTTACCGTATGTGAGGAAATCAGGAAGTTGTAAAATCCAAACAGACACAAAGAAATTCAAGATTCAACAAATACTGGTTGCCACTGAACAAACACGTCTCTGTTTCCTACGCATGTATTATACTACAACAAAAAACTAAAATGTGAAAATGGCAACTTGGGATAACTGGTAGCATAACATTCTTAATTGCATTAAAGAAAGGTGACAATTCAAATGGTTAGGCTGAAGCCCCATACAGCAATAATCAATTATCACAAGTCAAATGCAGACTTCTTCATGAATCAAATAAAGTAAACCCAAGACAGATACTATAATGCAATTTTTAAAAAAGACTATCTTGGCAACTTCTCAATTTCCCATACAATACAGTTTGCAATGAAAATTACATTCAACAGTCAACAAAGTGCCCAAGCATGGCTGGTAGGCAATTTTCCCAGATCAGTCTCTATCCTCAGACGGAAAATAGAGAGCATCGCAAAACTCTCACCTGACACGTGATGCACTTCCCTGCAGTGGCAGTGGAGAAGGAGATTGTTGTACAAGGATGACAAACAAATCTGCAGCTTGAATGTACCACCCTGGTGACTTGTTGCACGATGCTCCTGCAATGGTCCAGGGAGTGCAGGAGAAAAAATCCAAAATGAAAATCAGAATAAACTGCTTTAAAAAATAGTCTACTTTAAGTGCTTATACACTGAAACACGAATTTTAAGAACATCAAATTTTGCATTTTGTTTTATGAAAATTACACAGATAACCAGCCAGCTCAAAAGGCAGGTCTGGTTTTCTTCAATAGGGCTTAGAGGAGCCAACACACAAAAAAGTCATCCCTTCAGTCAAATTAAAAGCGTGGTCTCCCCATGTGAGCCCATCATTGTTATTGTTTTCTCCAATGATTCTAGCCAATCATCTGATAAACACATGCTGGTAATCACAAGGAATATCAGGTGAAAATGGGCATGGATTGAATAGTAATTGAACCAAAGCCTAAGCTTAATATGGCATATATTATCTATCAACATGCAACTTGAGAGACAATCACGAAAGAGCACAGCTATTGGCATACCAGTCCAATGAGATAGAAAAAAGTATAAAATAAAGAAAAAAATTTTAAAGTGTGCGCATATTCACTAGACTTTCCACTAAACTTTAAATCATTTAATTATTGAATGTATGTCTATTTCATTTTCATTTTGCCACAAGGCCTTGCACATGGATAAGTAAAAATAATCCACTGTATGATGAATGAGTGAATGCGTGAATAGATGAATGAAAGAATGAATGAATCTTCCATATACCTTTCCATCAGGGAGCCTGGTGCTTGTAGTAGTTTTTGTGAGGTAAAGACCTATGCATAGAAATGGAAGAAGTTGAGGACTTGATCTGCTAACATACTTTTTAACCCTATCTTTAAAATTATATTTTTAAATACTGGTCATTCCCAATTATCTACATTAAACAGAAAGAATCAGTCATACAATTATTATAAAATAATCCCCAAACTAGTAGATGCTGGACTGAAAATCAGTCTTTGATTACGGGAGTTGATCTGCATATTTGTTTAGGCTGATTTTAAATTTAGTTTGGGTTTCCTAAGCTCACGCCAGGTAACAGTAGGAAGGAGAAGGCCCAGGATTATATTGGGTGTCAGAAAGAAACTATTCTGGCGCTATGAATATGATCTCCAATGTGAATAATCTGTAAACAGGTAACTGAGCCAATTATCCCTGGGTACATGGCAACACATCTCAGTAGTCATGATTATTTTCATCCATACACACTCACTATTTTTAAGAGCACAGCCCAGCTGGGAAGGAAAATAACTTCCATTTCTTTCCAGCACTTTTCAAAGTAATGAATAGGAGCCAAAGTATTCTTACTTCTAACTAACCCATTCACCAAGCATTTATTTAAGCATCTCTTGCATGCCTGGGGCTGATATGCAAAAGAAATAATTATTATAGTCCTTGGTTTCCCCACAGGTATTCTGTGTATATAGAGAAGGAAGGTAAACTGTTGTAGACTATAACATCTTTTAAATACTTAAAAGACACTGTCCCTCCACCAAGAAGCTTGTTGAGTCACAAATGTAAATAGTGGCCAAGTTAAATAGAAGTTCACAAAATTCTATTTAACCTTACACAGTTCTTCTTGGAAGGGATTCTTGATTTTATCTATTGACATCTCAAATGAAGCATCAAAATACTCGATAATCATTTTTGAACAAGGTGCAGGTACCATGGATTTGCAGACAGTGCTTTATGAGCTCACAGTTGGGAGAGTGTTTGCTTATATATCGATGTGTGTGCACACAATCCTATTTACATATCACCTGGCAGATAAGGTTTTATGGAGTCCAAATTACAGTCTCCTCCTATTCTGCTGAAGTGCAGAGAACAGTCAAACATGATGCAAATGCTGTAAAATATTAATTTACTCTCACACTGATATGCCTACTTATTTCAAAAGTATTTTTGTTGCTACACTACTTAGGGTAATAAAGGGAGTTAACATAACTGGTTGTATTCCATCAGAGGGAAGAAACACAAGGATAAAAGCCAGGCAGCATAGATTTGTTGCAAAAACACCCAAAGGATATATAAGAAAATAACCCATAGAATGTTTTCTACAGTGATATACACTAAAAAATGGAATATACAACATTTAAAAAGCATAGCAGAGCACATAGTACAATACTGTTAATAGTGAAAGATTACCAAGAAAGATGGCCCAAATAATATTGATATGATGGTCATTAAAAACCAAGAGATAATGTGGGAGAGGGGGCCAAATTAAAGGCACAATAAAAGAAAATTTGTCATATACAGTGACATAAAAATTTTCTTTGAACATTGGAGGCACAAACGCTTCTAGGTTAGCAGCTATGGTAATTATCACTAAAAATTTCAGTTAAATAACTCCCTCAAAAACTTGTCATGTTAAAGGGCACCTAAGTAGAAAAAATACAGTTCTTCTTAGCCCAAATCAAAACACCATAATCAGGGGAACCTCTGCCCCTTGAAGTCTCAAATTCTTTTTTTTTTTTAAAGATGACCGGTAAGGGGATCTTAACCCTTGACTTGGTGTTGTCAGCACCATGCTCACCCAGTGAGCAACCAGCCATCCCTATATGGGATCCGAACCCGTGGCCTTGGTGTTATCAGCACCACACTCTCCCGGGTGAGCCACAGGTCGGCCCAAAGTCTCAAATTCTGATTACACTACAACGAATTTTCTGAAAAGTAATTTTCAGGTAGGATAAAATTTTTGCTTACATTATGGTAATTATCATGGCATTTTCATTATTCCACAAATGGATGCATTAAAAGTTATAGAGAAATCGATAAAACATTTCTGCAAACATCAAATATGTCAAACAAAATATAAAGCTTGTTGCTTTTTTGTCTGTAATAGTCCTAAACATGTTTTAGAACATATGGGATGGTAATAATATGCAGTACAAATATTTATAGTACATTAGCCTGAAAGGTTCAGATTTATGATTATAAATTACTACATTGATAAAGACAAAAACATAAAAATATAACTATGAAAGAAAAAATTTAAAAAGTGTTCCTACAAATGAAGATTATTTCCCTAAGCATTTTATTACTTCTGTAATTTTAAGCATTTATATGTTTTTAAAACCTTGTTTCAATTATAGGTCTTTCAGCCAACATTTTAAAACTTCTATAAAATTAGCACCCTATAAACTCATTATTATATCACTTCCTACAGAAGTTTTGAATGAGTAAATTTATCATATCAACCTAAATTAAATGAAACTAAAATGTGAAAAGAGTAATAGACGACTAAAAAATTCATATCTTTCAAAAAAAAGGAAGCCTTCTATGTAATGCCCCCAGAACACAAAATTATTTCTATTAGGATTTCTGCAATTTATTGTTTTCAGTGCTTTTAACAAAATAAAGGCCTGCTTCTGATAACCTTGGAAGTATGACCGGAACTAAATCTGTTCTTTGAAGCCATTAAGCAGCACAGATCTAAGTCTCTCACAGAAGCCAATCATTCAAACTATTGAATTACTCTGAAAATATAAAGCAATGGAAGTCAAGTAATCTATCTCCCCGCTAAAAATGATAGTCTGTCTTGCTGTGCTATGTCACTTCATCTATACAAACATCAAAGCTTTGCAGAATCTAAACTGTGTGTTATTTTCAGATAACTGTAGTTTAAAGAATTAACATTCACTCCTACATTTACCTAATTACGCCAGTTTCAGGGGTTTAGTAAAAAAAATGTTTATCGACTAACTTCTAATAGGAAACAAAACGAGCCGGGTATTACAGTGTGTTAGTCATCAGAAACTGTCATTCAAGGTATGTGCAAAAGCAAAACGTACTTGACATTTCAGAATGGAAAAAAATAAAGGCACAACATTACACAAAAGGAATATGAACCCTTGAACTCTATAATAAAAACAAAAACAGGAGTCACAGAAATGTTTACTAGCATTCTAATAATCTCTCAATGCTGGCCTTTCCCAGGACTCCCAGACAACTGAGTTAGGTATGTTGAAACTCACGGCCATCTACAGGCTCTTGGCATAAAGTCTGATGGCCAAAAAGTTTTTCTTTAACCCTTCTCTAGGAGGAATAGACAATTCAGAGGCCCTGAAACGTAGTTATTTCTGATAAAGCCTCACTTCTGTTTAGCAAACCCTCTTAAAACAAAATCCAGAGAGGAAAATATTGTCTTTCACAGTTCCCAATCAAGTACAAACATTTTTCATATTTTTAGCATAAAAATTTCATATTTGTGCACTAAAAAATACACGTTCATATTTTACTGCAAATAAAGCAATTTTCCGTATGTTGCAAAATATAATCCAGGACCTCAAAGGCATTATGTAAAATTTAAACTTCTGTGTCTTATTTTATATCCTAGTTTCCCATCTATTTACCTCCCAGAAATAATAGCTCTAGCTAATTTTAACCACAGCAATGCTTCATCTGACTAGGCCACAATGAATATATCAACCACATAAACTCACTAAAGAGTAGAAACTCATAAACCACCTGTGAGGAAAGATGAGTAGCTCTCTCAATCCTAATCCTAGGGGAAAAAATTTACCAATTTAGCTATGCAGCCATAAAACTGTAAACTGATTGGCAGGTCACAACTAAATCGAGCATTATTATTCCCAATTATTTTTTCTTTCAAATACCAGCGTTATTAAAATATGTACCCTTATTTGGATATCTTGAGCAGCACAGAGCTCCAGCAACTAAAGCTACTTTTTCCTTTTCTGCCAGAATATTATTTTTCTTTGCTCAGCAGACTTAATAAGGTGGTGCCCTAATGCAAAGGTTAGAATGCTGCTCTCTAAATGTTCATTAAATTATATCCTAAAATAGAGTACAAGTTATTTATTGCGCAAAAACGTAGGCCTATATCATCTGTCATTTAACTGAGAATTTTACTACCAAAGATCATTAAAGATCATGGCTAACAGATCCAAATTAAGAATGAATACATTGAGAATGTATGCCTATGGTCATACCAGTTTGTGTTATGATGGCTGTAAAGTTTTAAAATGTGACAATGGGAATATACTTCCCAAATAATTATATTATATGTTCTGAGTAAACCCTTTAGAAAGCCACCCATCACTATCAGCCATTTAAGTTCCAAAGGATGGGCACTCTTCACACTTGAAAGGGTTAAGTGCCTGCAAGGCCAAAGGCACCAGACTGCAAAAGAAAAGTTGCTTTAGTGAGCTCTGAAAGGTTTCTAACAAGTACCAAATACTTGTTGATCTGTTCACAATAAACACCAGCAGGATTGTCAGGCTCCTTTCACTGTCTAGGGAGATGCATTTACATACTGCACTCAGTAAGAACAGCTTGTGGGTCTCTTTTATAAAACTTGAGTCTCTAGAAGCCTCATTCAGTGTCTTCCATCCAAATGACTGAAAGAAGATGCAATTGAAATCGTGAAGTCTCTCATCTGGCTTGGGCAGCACAAATACTGTGCATAAAACACATGGAGTAGTTCAGGCACAAGACAAACCCACCTGAATGGACAAGGAACACTGTCTGTTGCCATGGCAGCCTGATCTAATTACATGAGTGATCAGGGCTGGAGTAAGTGCAACGAAAACCTACACCACTGACGGGTATCTACATGATGAGAAGGACAGGCAGGCAAGAGGTTCAGGGGAGCCCTTCAACCTCTGCTTTATGCAGAAGATAGCATTCAAGCCCATTTATTTGCAAAGCCGCTAAAATATTGACTGATGCATGCACAGTTAGAGGGCAATCAGAGGAGATTAAATGCCACAGCATTAGCCATTACGGCGCAATCCTTTCCAAGAGTTTATGTGCAGGATTTTCTCCTCCTCCTCTCTGGTGGTTGATTTTCTCAAGCATAAGCTTCATTCCAAAAAAAAAAAAAAAAAAAAAAAAAAAAAAGGCTCAAATATCAAACTACCTTTACCCACCAAATAAACCAGAGGGTGGGCTTAACAGGGGCTTCTAGGAACGGCAGGGCTCCTCAGAAACCCAAACAGAAATGGCTTAGCTAACACTGTTGAAAAAGTAACTAGCTATGCCTAAAAATAACCGCCAAGTAACTACCCACTGCTGTGTGCAATATATAACGATGATGTTTAAATATTAAGAACAGCCTGCATTATAAAACACAAATGTCATTGAGATGTGACTACTAGATTGCCAAAGGAGAACTTATTTGCATACACACATTCCCGTGCATGCACGACAGCATGTGCAGGGAGAATGCCACTCTAAGGCATTACTTTTTATTCTGTGCGTGTAATAGGGTCTCCTAATTTTGCTAATTGTATCCTGTGGATCTCCCGGGGAAGCTAAGAATCTCTTCGGGGACAGAACCAGTTTGGAGGAGTCCCTACTGCACAGCATACGGTAAACAAAATAAAAATAGCTTGCCGTTCCTGTTAGCCACATCGCGCATTATATAACCAGCTTCCGACTGGCTTTTTCTTTCTTTTTTTTTTCTTTGCCCTTACTACTCTTCAGCAATTTCCCCATCTTCCCAAGTATTTATATTACTCTCTTATCTGTAGGATTGTATACCAAGAAAGCAAAACAAAACAGAGCAGCCACGGGATCGAAGGGAACCCCATCGACCTTAGGAACTGATTTTTGTTTTGTTTTGTTGGCAGAGTCTCGATCATCACCCTGCTTCCACCCCCCACTAAGGTTCTTGCTCCATCTCCCTAGAAAACCCGAATTGTTTCATCATTCCCAATCAGCCCCCTACGCGGCCTGAAATAAAATGAAAGCACAAGTCACGGAGTTTAAGAAGGCGGTCTGAGGGCGGGGGGCTGAGAAGGGGTCAAGGAGCTGCAGAGTCAGCCAAAGTGGCCACCGAGAGGGCCCCTGCACATCGCAACAGCCCCCGGACCGTCGCCTGGCGCGCGCGCGCGCACACACATATACACACACAAATACACACACACGCTCACGCCGCGCTCCGACACCGCCTCACCTCCCGCCCGGCCGGCCCCCTTCCCTGCCCCCTGCGGGACAGGCCTGCGCGCAGCGCTGGAACCACGTAGGAGGCGGCGGCGGCCGCGGGAGTGGCACAGTCTCCGGCCCGGCCCAGAGTGAACGAGCAGCGGGGCTCCAGGGCGCATCCCAATCCCCGCAGCGCCTCCTCCGCCGCGGCCGCCTCCTCCTTCCCCTCCTCCTGGCTTCATTCACCCTCCCAGCAGCAGCCGCGCAGCCTTTCACTCCCGGCGCAGGGCAGCGCCCGCCGCGGCTNCTCCCATCCGGCCCCTGGCAGCCCCCCTGCCGGCCGCCCCTGAGTCCACAGTGGGGGTGTCGGCCCGGGAGGCTGGAGCCGGGGACGGTTGTATGTACACACACGCGCACACACACACACACACACACAACACGACGCGTCGATTTCCTTCGCTCCTCTTCCAGCTGTTCTCAGTGCAGCCGATCGGGGTTTGAGGTTTGTTTGCTGGTTGTTGCTTTTTGCCCCTCTCGGGAGAGCGGGGGGAGGGGGGATTTTAATCTAAATCAGGGGAGAAGGGATGGGGGAGGGGGGAGAGAAAGAATCAGAGGAGGAAAAAAATAGCCACTTACTGTAAAGTGTAAATGGATCTGGGGTTGCGTGGGGAAGGGGGGCAGAGGGAGAGAAACAATGTCTCGCGGCTGCTGTTGCTCTGGCTGCTGCTCCACGGGGCTTGTTTTGGATCCCCCTGCAGTGAAACAGGTCCTGTACGGCTCCGCCACTGTAGTAGAAATGATGTCTGCGGTATACTCCGCTCTCTCCTCCTCCTCCTCCTCCCCCTCCTCCCGCTCCCTCCCCTCCCTCCT